GGGAAGGTCTCAAAACAGCATTGTCAGCTTGTCCAACACGAGCTCCCACCAGGGAGTGGTGGGAATTGCAATTTGGATTTTTTCACAAGTGATCTCAAAATAAACAAATACCTTATAGTACAGTTTTTAACGTGCAGTCCAAGACTTTTCCCAGCTATTTTGAGGGGCCATCACACTGCAAGCAGTATGGTGTCCGATGGTACCAACCTCTTTCCCAGCTGGCTGATCTCGGTGGTGTTTATATTCTCATTGAGTACATTTGATGCACGCTTTGTGTTAATCTCCCTTCACTGTGGCTCACTATGCTGGTATTTCTATATAAAGTGAAATACTCTACTCTGTTTAAGCAAGCACTGCATTTATGCAGTAAGTAGCTGTATTAAATCACCTAATCTTCTATGCAATTTGTTATTCTTAATAGCTTCCACACAGGAAAAGAAAACTTTGCTAATCCTTTAATTAAATTTGCAAACTAAAGCAATGTAAGCCTTTGCCTCTCTTTTTTGAGAAGCAGTTAAGTCTTAAACATTAAGCTCAAGCCAGTGAGCAGCGATGCGTTTGTCTGATATTGTGTGTTGCGTTCAACAGGTTAGAGGAGCTGGAGCTGTCCTTCCCCCTCCGTCCTCAGCAGTACAGAAGAAATTTCTACCTGTTTCTACCTGTGTGATAGGTGTAGCCTGCCTGTAGCATGCATACAGCTGGGCCCATAGCAGCACGCAGACACCCATGCCCTCAGGGTTGCATACAGGAGTGTCGCGTACAGGAGTGTCTGATTCCCCTCTGGATCTCTCCAAGTCACCTTTGCATCCGAGTATCCTCTCTTAGTTGCCTCATTTCCTTAGGACGTAATTTTACTCTCCTTTTTAATGGCTCTGGCAGACTTCATAGTGCGCTCGTATCCATCCGTTGTTTCTCAGCTGGTATTCCCTGTAGCAGTCTCATCTGTCATTGCCAGCAAGTTTGTTCTTTTCTGATAAAGGTGGAGGTTGTTCCTTCACCAAAAAATAAGAAGTGTTCTTGATCCTAAATTTAAACGTTCCCCTGTACAGCAGTACCTTGAAACTGAGTCACTCTCCCTCCAGTAACCTAGCTGAAGGCATTTCAGAGGAGGCTATAGGAAGCACTCTGAATTTTATATTCCCAACATTTCAGTGTGAAATGCTTCAAGACTTTTCTGCATTCTGCGTTTCCTTAGGCCAGTTATACTACAGTCTCTCACTCTCTCCCAGTTTCTGCAAAGACCTGTCCACATGCCTCATAATCAGATCCAGGACTGATGAGACCAGGCACGGTGTAAACAAGCTGTTCTGCTGCAAGCGTCTCTTCACGGCAGCTTGGCAAATGTGGGACCGTGAGTATATTTTCTTCTTACCAGTGTAAGTTTACTGCTTTCTGGGTTTTCTTAGCAGAGCCCGAGCTCTAAAAGCTTAATCTTCAAGGCCAATTAAAAAGGTTCCCTGGGACTTTAGTGAGAGTTGATTTATGTCTAGATTAGAAACTGGTTTGTTATTTCCCCTGTGTGTCACAAAATCTCAGCTAGCATTATCTGTGTAGCTTTGTTTTTAACTTTCGTGTTTAATAATGTCTTCGATTTCTTCTGTATTTTTGAAAGGTAGGTAGGAGAAAGGAGTAGGGAAGGGGGGAGGGATTTCGACTCTCTCCACCTTTGTACCATTGTCCTCAATACATTGCTTATCACCGTGGCATTGGAATAAAGGAGTATTTGAAATGCTGCTTCCAACTTTTGCCAGTAAAAAAACTCCGCAGGGCAAAATCCCCCACCTATACTTCCAAGTCTCAACCTCATTTGGTGTGTATTTGAGATCCCCTAACTCTTATGGCAATTTGGCAGTAAGTAGCCCAGAATATTGCATCGATTTCCCTTAGTTTGCTTGACAGATCTCTGTGATCACTGTTAAGCTTTCCAAATTTTCCCTTCCAGTTCCTCATCAGTGTTCCAGTGTAAAAGGGACAAGACAGTGCCACGCGTGTACCTTCATCTTTTCTGCCTCACAGACAGCTGCCTTGTCAAGCAAGTACTGAAAGTAGATGTTTTGAAGCTGTTATTCTGTTTATCGTCTCACTAGGCTGCCGTAACAGACCTTACAGTGAAGCTGTACATTAACATACTAAAGTAAATGCTGGGCACTAGAGAGGGGATCGGCTGAACAACAGGAAGCTCAGCACTGCAGTGAAAAAGGAGCAAAGAAATTCCTAAGTTGATGGAGCGTGCTAGAGTCATGCGTTAGCAACCAGGACAGGCTATTACTCCAAAGCTTTCTAGGTATCTTTAGGTAGGAGAGCTCTTCACTAGGCTTGGATACAGCAGCAGTGTTGGAGGAGAGAGGAAGTCTGCGGTAGAGATAAGTAATACAAATTCAGGTGAGGTTACTAAAGCCCTATCTTTCCCCTGCTAGATTTACAGTGCCTTCACTTGTAATTCATTGCATGTGGAAGATAGATTGTTCCAATTAAGACCATGTATCCTAATAAAAGGTTCACGTATTGTATGCAGATTGGGTTTCCAAGTGAAAAAAATATTGCTGATTAAAGGACCCAATATGGTATTTTAACCTGTTCTTTGCTGGCAACACGAAGCAGAAATGTCGGGATAGTTATAACGGTCTAAGCAGAGACAGCAGGTGCATTTTTTGCAAGAACAAATACTGGTCTTGTGCTAATGTCAAATTGGTCTTGTCACGGGTTACAAACTAAACCTTGTATCTGCTGGTCAGTACTTGCCTTAGAGATTTACAAGGTATTTCAAAGAAAGTTCTTGACATACCTAAACTGGATGGAAAAGTGCATTTTTTGTTGTCCAGCTCCATTTTTCTTTTAGAAGCTGAGGGCTATATATTTTGTACATGACTACCCCAAAACAAGCACGGTAACTGGTTTTGACTTTGGGCCGTGTTACACTCAAGAAGAAACTGATACTTGGGTAAGAGTTCAAACTACTTTGGAGTTTACAGTTTCACCACCAGCAGTGATTCTCCTGAAATAAAAGGCATTATAAATGAGCTTAGAATAGATTTGGGCTCTTCTTATCTTTAGGGTGGGTGCAACACTTTCAACAATTGCTACCAAGGATCCACCAAAACCAGAATATTCCTGTTGTATCTGTTACCTGCCTTATAGATAAGGCCAGGCAATGAGAATTTTCAGCCTAGCTCAATGTTCTGACACTCATTCCGTCATGACAGACAAACTGCTGGAAGCGGTGCTCTCCTACCACTAGGAAAATATGTGTGAACCTGCTTTTACCTTGTGGTTCAATCATGTTCTCTCCCATGTCTCTGCTACACCTTCCCCTTCCAGGCTCTGAGTATTTTTTGAACCCTTGGCCAGTTTCAGTCCGTATCTCAAAGCTGCGCTCCTCAGCAGCGCCCGAGGAGGCCTGGGAGCTGGCCGGAGGGAGAGGGCCAAACGAGTCGGAAGGAGCAAGGGAGCTGCAGAGGCAGGAGCAGGCAGATTTTTTTTTCCCGCCGGAGCAGCCGGCCGCAGGCGGCGGGGATGCAGGGCGGATGCCGGAGGAAGGCAGGCTCTCCTCTTCCCCTGTTCGAGGAACAACACGGTAGGAATTTTTCTTGTAGGCACAGTGATGCTGTTAGATGACGGAAGTTTGTATAATCACCTCAGTGTATTGTTTATTTACCTTCTGAAACCTATGTTCTTGCCTCTGTTAAAAGCAATTATATTGAAAATACACGTTATTCTAATAAGGTTATATACTATCTATATAAAGCCATTTAAACATTTCTACTGAGTTTCCTAGCACAGGACAAATTATGTGAGTCCAGTTTCTTTTTTTTTTTTTTTGGAAAATGTCATGCATCCCTTTTGGCAGATGTGAAGGGCATGAGTCAGCTACCTGAACACAGACAGCTAACGCCATCTGAAGTGCCCTAGGATAGCTGGGAGGTCGTCACGAAGCTGGCAGATATGACACAGCATATAGGGATGACCCAAGCTGCTTTGACCTGGGGCATTTCACATAGCAGTAGGCAATTCTGTAGTTGCGTATGCATGGGCAAGTGAATTAAACCCAAAGAGACAACGGGTAATGTCCTGCCTGGCCCTCGATTGCCTGATCCTTTCCCTGGTCATGTCAGCTCTTTGCTTTATTGAGCAGTTGGTCACTGTTTGCTTAGGCACCTTGCTGCGATGTTGCTGTGCCAGATCTCCGTTTATGCAGCGCTGACCAACTCTAACCTCCTTCAGACTACTGTACCAGAAAAGTAGTACTTTGGATCACAACCATTCACGCTCAGAGAAGCTCTCACAAAAATGTTTTTAAGGCTGACTGTTCTTTCTAATACCTATGTTACCATGATTCATGTTTCTCCAAAGGTAGACATCTGTGTGAAAAAGCTGCGTTGATGGGTTTATTATGCAGTAAAATTCATACTTAGTCCACAAGACTTACAAATTTTTTTCTAATGTTGTAACATCTCACATCAGCCAGCGGTATCAAGGATTTATAGTCATCCATGTTTTTCAAGTACATTCCAGGCATGTCTGCTAGGCTTAAGTGTCCTTTTACGTTCAACATTCCTCCAGGTAAGCAATTTTTCTATTGTATTAAATGTGACCTTGCCTCTTCAAGCTCCTAAGTAGATTCAGTGTGCGGCAGATAGGTGCATAATATTTTTGAGTATTGCTGCCTGCTTTAAGCCATGTCACGGACAATATCCACTCCGTGGCTTCAGAAACTCAAGATCCCTACTGCTTCTTGAACAAGACTGACAATAATTCCCACTGAAAGGTTGCTTGTCTATTTTGATCGTTACCAAGGCTGCTTTTTTTCCCCATTCACTAGGAATTCATATTGCACTATAAACAAAATATAGTTCAAGGATTTTTTTATTCTGAATGGTAAGCAGTCTGTTGCTATGTACAAAATGAAAGCTTTTATGAGGGCACTTTAATATGACCTTCGTAGAAAATGTAAAGCCAGTGTATCCAACTTTCAACTGAGGATTGTTTATGTATTGCTGCAGCTAACTGTTGGCAGAAGCCTTCACCTCAGACATAAATAGTAGGTAACAATCTGTCAGTCATCTACTTTAAGAGCAGATATTGTTTAGATAGCATTGGCAGCAATTTTATATTTGTGCTAACTTGTCAGGGTATATGTCTTCTAGGTGCACAGAATGAATATTTTAAACATTCATGTAAGCAACAGTTTTATCTACTGTTTAGCGCTCAGAACTAGCATTTGCTGTCAGGAATCTAGATTCTCTTTCCAGCATTGCTTTTAACTGCTCATTCTCTTTGGCTTGCCTACGGCTTCATCTCCTCCCTCTTCAGAAATTAAGATAGTGCAATCCTAATTCAGGATGGCAATGCAAAGAATGCTTAATATATCTGTTCTTGTGACGTGTTTTGTGAAGTGGAAAGAAACTTAAAGACAGTAGTGTGCATGGATAGAGGCTAATCAGATAATTATTTTCAACTGGGAGTTAGATAAGGTAAAACCATGTTATACAGATGAATACTTTGCATATTCATCTTCTGTCCTTGTTTCCCAATTTTTCCACATAATATTTTGTGTACTGAATGATAGGGGACTGGGACAAAATTTACACACTAAAGCACGGTTTGAAGTCAAAGAGGCCCCCTCTGCATGAAGGCCAGTGTGTGGGAGAATAAAAGGCCCCAATACATTTCTCTAGTCTAGTTTCTCCTACAATTAAATTGTTATTTGTTGTAGTAGAACATTTTTTCTCTCTCCAGCAGGCACAACAATGCAGTGCGCTTTGGCCAGTCTGACAGTCCAGAAGACCAATAGTCTTGTCCAGTAAAACAGTCTCAAAATAGGAGCAAGGTAAAATACAGTTTCTGTGGTATGTGAGAAGAAACTTGAGGTCATATTGCCTGCCCTAAGGTTCTGCCTCTTCTGTCTCTTTTTGAACTTTTAAGTAAATGTTAAAGTATTTAAAAGAGGTGGGATGTTTGGGAATACGTGGCTATTCATGACTGACCCAAGGCAGCCTCAAATTCTTGCTTCAGACCGGTTCTACTGTCAGGTCAGTGCTTTTGGCAAGAGTTGATGATACGCTACAAGTAGTTTTTGTGGTGATTTTTGTGCCAACAGGAATGCATGAACATAGACAAAGCAATGTAGGAAAAAAATCCAGTTCCCCTGAGACTTGAAACCAAGTGTCCGGTTGTAACTCGGGGTCACCAGCTTGGTTTGGTCCCAGTGAGGTGGCAAAGAGGGACTGGTAGATGTTAATGTTCCTGCTGAAGCATCTTCCCTCGGATCGTCCCGTGGGCTGCCTGTCTAAGCAGAGCATGTTTCCTTTTCTCTTAAGCCATGCTCTAGCCTATTTACTCAAAATGAAATCCCAGCAGCCCTTCATATCCAAGGGCTCCTGGTGGCATAATGGGTGCTTTGTTTCTGTGAGACCTGAGGAGCTGCTGCTTCAAGCCAGAGGAGAAGCTTAAGCAGTGTCCAGTCGCTTTGGGACATGGATCTGGGCAGGCGTGAGCCATGCAGTGATGGTGAAATGAGGCATTTGGAGGGCTCACTACTGCTTAAAGGGTCCTGCTGGCAACTATGTTTTTTGAACAGTAGCTTTGTACTGCTGCAAAGGAGAAGTTAATATTAACCTTGTTATCTCATTATTTTACATATTTCTACATGAGGAAAAATGTCCCTTTGTTCATAGATCAAAGGGATACCTTCTCAGACTTCTAATTTGTATAATTAGATATATGATCCATTTTGTGCTTAGTGTTCCTGACAACCTGACTATTATTTATATTGTTATATATGTGAATGAAGGAAGGCTGTCTTCATTCTCACGCTTAAAAAAAAATGCCATTTTTGTATCTTGGGAATGGAGTCACCTCTCTGGATTTGTGGAGAGGTAAGGACATAAAGAAGCAGCTTTTCAAGGCAATAGCTAATAATAACACCTACTAGCTTCTCCCCAGCCCTTGGTCAGGAATTATTGAGAGGTGCTATGTAAATCAGGAAACAGACAGCTCCTACCACTAAGAGAAAATAACTGCAGTCTGAGTGAACTTAGGCTTGCAGTGAAAAATACTGTCTTTAAACAAGCTGTTTCGAGAAGTTATGTGAGACCAAATTTCCAAGGAAAGAAATGGCGTTTGTGAGAGGATGATCAGCTTTCTTTTTATGGGCAGTTCTTTAAGGCTCAGGACAACTAACAAGTAAGATGGGAAAGATTTGTCCAGGATAAGCTAGATAGAACAGTCCCATTCTTGCCAGTAAAAGTACTAAGCTCTGTTATCAAAACAGTGTAGAACAGTAAAAAGGGAACCTGTAACTTTTAGTTATTGTGCCTCAGTCTCCTATTGTCATGTATTTAGAGGAAAAGACATTGTGTTTGCTGATATATTTGGGAGATTTTATTTTCTTTTGCAATGGTTAGAATTTATTTCACTTGCACAGAAGAACCACCTTTCTCCTTCTCCTTCAAGGCTTATACTGCTTACATTGTGGCTGTGCTGCTGAATACCAGCTGCCGACCAGAACTCTGACGTGTGTCTGGGCTTGGACAAAAGACAAAGGTAAAACAAGTCACTAGAAGTTAAACGTTTTGGGCTGTTATAAGGTGCATCATCTTAAATAATGAGGGTAAGAAGCAACAGGAATTACGAAGGGTCCTGGATTCTCCATCACTGCCTATTTTTTATGTATGTGTGGATGCCTGTGCAAAAGAGACAAATTAAATCAAGGTAGTCTTCTGGAGTGCGATATTCATACTGAAGTATGAATTCCTTGGGATAATAAAATTTGAGATATTTGGAACTTGTAATTTGACACAATATTGGAAACATTAAAAAAAGGGAGAGGGGGTACTGAAAGTTTTGTGGACTGCCTTTTTTAGCCACTGTCTTTTACTGAGACCTAGACACAGTTCATTACAAAATGTGACATTAAATGAGTGATGAACTGCTGCATTATAAATCACGTATCGAATAATCCATTTTCACACTGCTTTTTCTGCAGAATCATAATTGTGATATACAAATACACATGTCAGTGATGGGAAAAATATACGATAGATGGAGAAGGGATAAGGTGGAAGCTACATATGGGCAAAAGTAGGTGAGATTATATGTGGTTTAAATAGTCCACAGCACTCATGGAGGAAAATTTTTGTAGCGACTGAAAGATAAAAATAAACATTCACAATACAGTATAAACTGCAGTGAGAATATATGCTGACATTCTTGTTTTTCACTTTTCTGAAATTTTCCATCACCATAGCTCTCGTTCTCAGATTGTCAGACACCAAAACCACATGCTTGCAGTTAACAAATCAGTTTGTTTAACTTGTTCAGACGATCCACAGATGGATTATTTCAGCAAAAGACACAGTAAAGAGATTCATTATAAAGGTCACAAATGACAAAATTACTCTCTTCGTTTCTCCTGGTTTCAAAGCAGAACCTTACCATTTCAGCTAGCAAAGTAAAGCAGGGTGCAGAAAGATTTATTGATGTTACTGAATCATGGGGTAGTGTTCACAGAAGAGAAGGGGATATTGTTTTCTTTAGCATATTCAAACTGCAGCATCTTATAACTCAGCTAAAGACCTTAAAGACTCAGTGGATCTAAAAAACAAGATCTTCTTTTTGATACAGTGTGTTTATATGTATGCATATTTATGTATTTTGATATAGTGTATTTGTAAGGTTGCATAGTATAGTTAGACCATTGGCATCGTTTCGGTGAAAGGCAGTGCCACAACTTCATCCTTCTGCCAGTAGATACAACCAAACTGTGGCAAGTGCAATCACTGGAAGTGGTAGCACCACCAACTCTCTTCAGAAAAAGCACCTGCAGCAGCGCCTCATTATCTTCATGTTACAAGCTTGCACAGGCAACCCCAGTTGGGCTGGGGCCAAGAAATTGACTGATGCAAAACCATCTTAAGGGAGTCAAGATGAGTTTCTAATGCTATCTGCAAATAGAATCATGTTGATTTCTTTCAGAAACAATGAAAAAAATCCATCTACTCTTGCTAATAAAACCACAGCGTATCTCACTACAGTTACGGACTGCAAATTAAATTTATTCTTCAGAAAATAAATTACAGCATGTCAAGTTGCTAGAGTGAACAATGGTTATTGTTTGGAAATAGGTTCAGATAAGTTGTGCAAACAACACTTCCTCCCTTAGATTCTCCCAAATTGAAATTGCAGATTGTGGCCTGGGGACAAGGTGTACCCTGTGCTTTGTAAAGCAGTGGGAGATTTTGTTCTGGCTCATTTCCGTGGGGTCTGAAAGAGTGCGTTTGGGCTGCTGAGGGCAGTTTCACACAAGTGTTTCCCCACTCGCTTTTGTCCTGAGGCATTCCT